CTCTCAACCAGGGCCAGACACGGGCATGGGTGGCAGCCCTGGCCGGGGGCAGAAAGGGGGTCTGAAAATGGTAATGTTTTGATTACGGGGCCAGCAGGATGCATAGATGACAGGGGCTGCAAGATCATCGTGTCCAGCCCCTTGCACTAGGCACAAAAGTTGGCTGAGTTGACCCCAGCGAGGTGACTGTCCAGGGCTCAGTGAGCAACTGTTCACCAGGGCGCCCGTGGGGAAAACCAGGAGTAATGGCCACAAACTCCTGGAAGACTGTTTCAAGTGTAACACTAGGAAAAACTTCATAGTCAGGGTGCCCAGGCTGTGGAATAAGCTCCCTCCAGAGGTGGTGCAATCACCTGCCCTGGAAATCTTCAAGAGGAGACAGTCTAGGTACAGGGCTGCTCTCAGTGCTCTCTTGTTTTTTGACTGTAGCAAAGTAACAGCCGTTCTCCTGCTCCAAGAGGCTACAGCAAGACACAGCGGTCTTAACTTTCTGGAGTCCTGGCCAAAACCTCCAGGTCTGTCTTGTGAGCAGGGTTGGCACAGTAGTAACGCTGCTTGGCACCCTGCGACTCCCTTGAAAGGATCTCTGGGCACCCCAGGGTGTCGCCTGCCCCCTGCTTGAGCGTCACTGTCTCAGGACTGTGGGTCTCAAGCTTTTAGGCTTGAGAAAATGTTAGCTCTTAGCTCTTGCTTGTTTCTCGTGGTAGAAAAATCACAGAGCCGACCTTTTGTTGCAGCGGGTCAAAATGTTTTTGACTTTATGAATTCCTGTTTGAAATCCCTGGGTTTATCTTGTAAATCACGGTATTCACACAACTAACAGTGATAATATTGTGCAGCACCCCACGCGCCCTTAAAAGGATCTTAAAGCACTGTAGGGTGCCAGGGCAACCTGGGTGAGAATCACTTTTTTTTATAAAGGTTGCCTGTGGTTGGTGGATGTTATAAAGCAGTGTTGGGGAATTAGATTGTAGCTTTCACATAAGCTAATGAAATCTTTCCACCTAGTAACTATTTTCCAAGTTAATCGCATGGCAATTCAGATCAAGCTGGGTTTTTGGTTTCCTCTGTCTTGTGTTATGAACAGTTTAACTTCCTTTTTTCAATCTATTTTTCTTTCCTTGCAAGGAAGGAAACACTTTGACTAGAAAGCTTCTGATACCAAGCAACAAACTTACCAGAAGTAGAAAATCATCTTATTTTCTTGACCAGGAGAAAAACATGTATTAAGCTCCCAGAAATATAACTGTGTATCATAATCTACCTGTGGTCTCCCTCCATTAACTAGATGTCAGCCTCCGATTCTCCTGCATTCCAGATAAATGCATTATATCATAAGATTTACAGCGCCATTGATTGTACTTTGTGATATTGATGAAACTGCATTAAGATTTAAATCCTATGATGCTAATGAATTACCTTGATAACAATATTATGAATTGACTTACAGTGAAAGGAAAGCAAAGTATTTTAAGATGCACATTTCTGTCCTCAAAGTTGAATAATAATTGAATAAATAATTAATGTAGTTTCCATACTGGATACATTATTCTGTAAGATAAACTTCATTTTCTTAACATTAATTTTGATAACATATGAATTGAAAAGGGTAAGAACCAACAGGTTCATATTCTTTCTTTTTTGTAAAGAACAAAGACTAAAAAACCTAAGTTGTCAACATTCACTTAGCTGAAAGTTTAACAGCTAAGAGGACTTTTAGAGTTGCTTCTTACAGTGCGCTGAGTACAGAATAAGTCACTAAATGAATATATATTTTCCTTTATAATGTAAGCAAGACAGTTTGGACACGGATGCTTTGGAGAAGTCAGAAAATGAAATACTCTTTTTCTGCTTTTTAAGTTTGAATTGATTCCTTGATTCATGATGAAAGAAGGGTGTTTGGGGGAAGGGGGGATATATTTGGGTTCAGGGAGATGAGCAGTTTGCCACTGGAATTATGCATAAATTGTTCTGTTGAGTGCAGTGGTGATGAGTTGTTTTTTACACTCTTAACATGTTTTTTTCCCTTTTCTGTTTAGTGGTTTTTAACGTGCAGGTACTTGACTGTTAAGTGTACTCTGTATAAATTGGTTTTGTTGTTCCAATAAATTGTTCAAAATGTCTTGCTTCTGGGGGAGGTTGCATTTTCTGTGCCAAGTGCAACAAACTTCTTAAGATGCATCCACTGTGATTTTATTCTTTCCATCTTTCTACTGCCACAAGCTTCCCAGTCACTTTCTCAGGCTGATTTTTACTTTGCGGGGGGTCAGAATGAAGGTAGGGTAGTAATGTTACTATTAGACCACTAGATAGAATGCAAAAGAAGGGAACCTGAGATGCTTTGCCTTTGGGAAAGATACTTTTCTACTGTTTGAGAGCTTGAACAAGGCCTTGGAATTAGGAAGTTTGGTGGTATGGTACCAGATCTGTGCTTCTACAGCTATTTTTCAGATTCGTGGGATTGAGGAGGGGAAAGTTTCAGAAAGTCCTCTTCAAGAAACCCTCCTTTTTGGGTTGCTGATGTAACCCTGTCCAAACAAATGAACTTCTTTGTTTTGAACATTTTAGTGGCTATGAGTCACGTTTTTTATATTTAACCTGTATTTTCCTATTTGGTAGGAAATCATATCCCTGTTTACCAAGGGGATTGGTTAAAGTAGTGTTTCCCAAAGCATGGGGCATGAAGGACTGGCCAGGTGAGGGTATAAGTATACCTTTCAGTTCTTTAGTCTCGGCCTTTTAAAAATAATGTATAATGGTATGGCAAAAACTTTCAAGAATATGAAGCTTGCAGTTCTATATTGTGAACTGCCCCTTTCAGTGGGTACTAACTTTGATGCCTGTGGTAAGACTATAAATATTAATATTTTAAACTTTCATTGCTTATCAAAGAATAGTAAAAGTATTGTCAAGATTTACACTAACACTTTTTAAAATGAAACAAGGGGGAGGAAGACTAGCAAATTGAGATGTTCAGACCATTAGTAATCCATGGTATAGTAGTGGGGAGACAATAGGACTGCAACTGGTCAATTTTTCTGAAGCTTATTTTGCTAAGTTTGGGAGCCGTGGGATTATTACCTATGAAAGAGGTTAAACTGAGCATCATCAAAACAAATAACATTGCGACACCTCATAAGTACTGCCAACCCCACTTCGTGGAGATCATATTTAGTGATGAAAGTTGCTCAGTCAGTTTGTTAACCTTTCTGTGCATAGTGGCTGTCATAGTGGTATCTTCAGTTACTTTGTTGGAACTACCACTGAGGATGGGGTGGGATTTATTGAGTATAATGGTAGGCAGCATGCTTAGATCACAAGCCTTTTTTTTTCTTTTTTAGCAGCCTGAATGGCCATCACTGAGTTGGAGTTGAATTATGCATGTAGTAGGGACAAGTATCAGATCATCATCCATTTCCTAACCTAGTTAGTCCTTTTGAAAGTTAGTATTTTTAAAACATAATAAACGCTAAATTAAATTCCTCTGGGAATTATTTAAAAGAAATAATCTAAGATTTGACCAAAGTTTAATTTACAAGATAAAATGTTTACATTTACAAATTATGGGGGAAATAGCTAGTTATAAATGTTAAAAAATGACAGTATGATAGCGATGTGTATTTTTATTACAAAAACTATTAGCATGTATAAGCCAATTCAGAAATCTGTTGCTTAAAATAGCCCAAGTTGCCTAGTTGGTTTTTTTTTTTTGGGGGGGCGGGTTGTGACACACATTTATGTGGAATCTTTTAATGTAGATTAACAAACATACGCATCTGTCTGTGAAGATTAAAAACTCTTTAAGTCCATGTAGAAAGGAAAATTTTGTCTAAATGGACTGACACGTAAAAAATTAACCAACTGGGTTGCTGTTACTTACTGAAGAAACTGTTCCTTTTCCTTGGAGAAATTATGAATATTTTATGAAGGGTTTGTGGTTTTTTTGGCTTTTTTTAATACTGGTGGTGATTGCTCCACAAATTGATAAATCCAGATATTTGATTCTCTCCCCAGGAGTAGTCACATTGCAAAATTGTTTTGAATGACTATTACCTGAGCTGAGTTGCTCTAATTATTTCCCAGTGATTTACTGGAGAACTTGTGTGTTTGTTTGGGCAGTATGGGGGAATTATGTGAAAGTATTGAAGGACTACCAACACTTAGGTAGCTTAGCCTATGTCCACAGCACAGGATTGATGAGTTACCTTGAATGAAAGCAGCACCTGGGTTCAAGCTTGCAGCCCAAGGATGCACTAGCTAGCTGGAGTTGAAAGAAGAACCCCTTAAGCAGGATGTTTCAAAACTAAATATATTTTAGAATTTTCTTATAATAAGGCTGAGTCCAATTTACAAACTTTATTCAGCGTAGCTGTGTTAGGAATGTGAAGAGACAAGATCTTTGACAATGTAAGCTGTGCTGGTGTAACTTATTTCACTTAATAGAGTGGTGGTGAATAAGGTACAGTAGCAAATGTCCAGTTCTGCTAATAGAAGCTGCATTGCTGCTGAGAATGTTTTGTCAGTATGGTTCTAGTGGCCCAGTTTGGAGGTTATAGGTAGCTTTATTTTCTACAGGAAGACCTTTTTGTAATAAAAAAGTGAAAGCATAGTTAGGTTTCTTATTTGGAGCTCATGTTTGATATGCGTTCAGTATAGATTTTACTTGTTTGCATCTTTTTTTCTCTATGCAGATCTATCGTTGCTGAGGTTCATCAGTGGTGAGCTAACAAGAGGTTACTTCCTTGAACATAATGAAGCAAAGTACACAGAACGGAGAGAGAGAGTATATACGTGTATGCGAATACCGAGAGAATTGGAAAAGGTATTTTTCTTTAAGTTGTCTATATTGGTTTAGACTTTCAGTCTGTGACCATAATGTTAAAGCCATTTAATTCTTCAATTTTTTTTTAAAGGAAGAGGTTTTCCTATAAACCAATTGCAATCAGTGATAGTTTGGATGCAGATTCAGAAAAAAATATATATTTTGCTTTTCTTTTATGGTTCAAACAGCAGTGGATGATTGCATGTTTTTTTAGAGGTGCACCCATACATCGATCTGATATTGGCTTGGCGCTGATATAAAGAAAATCATCTGCATCGGAAATTGGCCTGATAGGGCTTTTTAATTTGGCCGATAAATGACCTGTGAATGCGCAGCCATAGCACAACACATAGGCAGCAAGGAGCACAGCCCGGCAGCTTGAAGAGCAGTGTCCAGCTGGTACAGGAAGCCCCCCCAACCCTCCCGGATGAGCAGCAGGAGAAGCTTCCTGTTGTGGTGGAAGGGGAGAGGGGAATAGAAGGGATGTGAGGGGGCAGATCAAGGTCCCTCGAAGTGAGAGGCAGGGTGGGAATGGCCTGGGGCAAGTGTTGCCCAGCCGGGGCAGGTTAGGCATAGGACGGAGCCGCAGCTTGTCGGGTGGGGCACAGGAAGGGGGGAGGCCGTTCCCGCTGCTGCACGCTGCTTATCCAGGAGGGCATGTTGGGGCAGGGTGCTTCTGGATTGGGGCAGGGCTGGGGCTGTGCTTGGGGTGGGCAGCAGTAGCCCTGGGAGTGGGGCTATGGGGGTGGGCTGTAGCCACCCTAAAATTCGTTGTAGCCCCCTTGGTGCCATGGCTACCCACCCCTGGCACAGCCCTGGCCCGGCACAGATCCATGGACATGATCCTTCCCTTCACCCTGCTGGATGAGCAGTGGGAACAGCTTCCAGACAAGCAACGCAGCGGTGGGAGCTGCTGGTACACCCCTAATGCTTTTGATACAGTTGGCAGAAGGGAAAAGGCTGTTGAGATCTAGTGACCCAATTAAAAGTCCAGGGTACCAACAAATGGATCAGAATTTCTCCCTTAAGCCCCCTTGTTTCTAAAGGCAGAAGTTAGAAAAAAATATCATTTTTGATCCCAGACTTTGCTCTTGCAGTAAAGCCTTTCTTAATCTAAAAGTTGTTTGGAGGAATAATATGGCAGCGGCTCTGTAGAATTATGCTGTTGTACTGTTTCCCTCCCTGTAAGACTGCAACTTAATTTTTGATAAATTTCTCCCACATCACTCACAAGAATCTTCATAGAAAAGAACATGATCCTCAGAATTCACCTGTCTTCTAGAGGTTTTATTAAACAAAATATAGATTTTGTTTGGGGAGGGGAAGGATTCCTGATTTGTCAAAATGGTATGTTTAGAAAGTCTAACTTTTGATATCTGAAAGATCTAAAATGAAAGAGGTTAAAATTACTTCTTTGCATTACATCTAGTTAAGATCTAGCATCCAGGGTCAAATGTCAGGTGATGAGACTTTGATTTTTAAAAACTAGCACTTTTAGAATAGTAAGATAAGTTTACACTGTAATTTGTAGGTAGCTTGAGAGAGAGCTGGGAAACAGAGATGGACCAGTGAAAAATTGCAGGGGACCTGGAGAATAAGTGTGGAATTCAGTGAAAGGGGGGGGGGGGTTTGTTTTTTTGTTTTGTTTTTGTTGCTGCTAAACCTTTGCTATCTCTACTTTCTTATTAGCGGTAGCTCATGAGAACCTCATAAAGAGGAGCGAGAGATATCAAAAACTTGTTAATTTGTCAGTCTCCCAAGATATGTCAGTGGGAAGAGCCCAGTTGCCAAGCCTTTTCTTGTTTTGCTTAGTCTTAATGGGTATCACTTTTAACCCAGTGGATTTTGTAGACTTGTTGGCTTTTAAACCTGTTTGAGTTTGAAAAAGGTTGACTTGGGAGTTCTTGAGAGTATTAACATTTGATATGATAGCTTTCCTTTTCTTCCTTGGAAGGTAGAAAATGCATTTGATGACCACTCTTGCACTGCACCATTCAGAATGGCAGTTGCCTCATTAGTGTTTAAAAATTTGTGTGGGATGAGGAGGAGGAATGTCCCCTTGAGATACTGTGCACTCAGTCTCTTCTCTTTTCTTCCTTACCTGCCTTTTCTGAAGATATTGGAACTACAGGTGTGTAGGCCCTGTTCCTTCAGACCTTAGATTTAAGAACTAGGATAGAATACTTGCAATGAGACCTCATGAAGAGGTGACATAATAAGAGCTACCAGAGTGAAATACAAGATTCCTTTTTTTTATTTTGCTCCACTATTCAAAATTTCTTTGTTTTCATGGATACCTAATTTTTTCCCCCACACTCTTTATGGGTCTGTCATAAAATGTAATTAGTGTTCTGATAATATATCAGTAGGTTTAATGGGAAAACTTCTAACATTGTTTAGCAGTGATAATTATTAGAACAAGGAAAAGGGAAGGAAATATTAGTGCTGAGGTTAAACATGAAAGAAATCCAGACACTTTAAAGTATGGAAATTCACTTTTTAGGTATGCAAACTGCCTGCCTAATAGTGCCAACCTGCCATATTCCCTGATGACTTCCTTTCATAGCTATTTCATAAAGTAGGAATTTTTTTTAGGGCTTTTTCTCTTATGTCTTTAAGAAGCTGCCTGCTACTTTTATCTAAATGTTTTCTATTTTATAGACTTTGTAACCTAGGGCAGAGGTTGTCAACCGGGGGTACGCGCGGGCGGGCAGGGATGGAGCACTGCTACACGCCATCCCATGCTGCTGCTGCCCGCCCATCCAGACACGGGAGGTGGGGGAAACTTAAACTGGTGGCTGCTGCTACTCTGCATCTGACTGTGTGCCATGACCCCCTGCCCCCTCCACTCGGTGTCTGGCCACGTGCCAACACTCCCCCCTATGCCCCCCTTGGCGGCTGGGGGGTACACTGCTCCGTGTCTGTCCACCTGGGTGTACAATGGTTGAAAAAAGTTGAAAACTTCTGACCTAGGGTGTTCACCAAAGAAATGGTAGCATCCATGTCCAGAAGCTGCACTCATGGCTGTTGCTACCAAATTCAACAGTTTTTTTCTTTTAGCCCCCTATTTTTCTGTGGTCATATATTTGTTTTTCCAAGGGTAGGTCAGATCTGAAGAAGAGAGCTACCTATAGCTTTCTGTCTTTAGGCTAAATTATGATGGCTCTTAGCAGCTGTCTTTTTCTCTAAAGGGATTTTGGTGTTGGAACAGTAAGTATTTGTGTTTTACTCCTGACGAAAGTCATAGGCTTGCATTAGACCTGACTATAATGATATTTTAAGAGTTTGTCAGATAGAATTGCTGCTTTAAAAACTCCATTATTTGTCGTATCCCAGTAGGTATGTTTTGCCCCACTTAGATCAGGTTTTTGGTTCAAACTATTGCCATTACAGCATGTCGGAGCTTTTTTTGGCAGAGCTTACATATTAACAAAATAGAGCTTTTGCTGATATGCTTAACAAAAAGCCTCAATGCTAGAAAAGCTTTGCCTGCAAGTAATGTTTATAGACAGGCATTACATATGTGTCAAGATAAAAGCCTTTCTCCAGGCAAAAAAAGAGCATACAAACATTCAAGGGGGCTTCTTGCAGAAGAGCACTGGGTCTTCCACAAGAAAATGACAGCATTTCTGCTAAAGAGTTCTCTCTTCCCACATTGACTTGAATAGCTGTACACTTCCTGTGGGGCGAACCTCGTACCCACACTTCAGTCATTAGTTATGAATTAGGATCCCATTGCAAAAAGACAAAGCAGAAGACCATCCCTATCCCAGATCGTTTATAATATGTGAGGCATTAAATGAACACTCACCTTTTGATTTGTACAAGAAAGCAATAAGAAAATACTGATCAGTGCTCTAGGCATTGTTTTCAGCCTAGTAGTAGTTTAATTTAAGCATAAAATTAAGCCCTGAGAGGGACAGATATTCCCTTATCCAAAAACGCCAAGTGGTCACACTACAGTGGGCAGAGAGCTTTGTCAAAAACTGCCCCAATTTGAATGATATCATACTGATCTGTAAAAGGGAGACTCCTCAGTGATTGGGCACGGGTTGTTCTGGGAGTTAGTGCCTTCCCTTACTGGCAGAAGCAGCATGTTTCCCTTATTAGTTGTGGAGACAGCCTTCCAAACATGAACTGTGTGGAAGCTGAGCAATGCTGATGGCATTTGTTACACAAGTAGTTCTGGTGCTTCTGTGGGTGCAAAGTCATTTCTCCTCAGAGACTTGTCAACTTTCACTTTTGCTGCCTGGAGCCCTATAGTATATAGTAAAACTGACAAAAAAAGCCTTTCCAAATATTAGCAAAGGAAGCTATAAAGGGCTACTGAAGTGGTCCTGGAAATACTGATTGGGATTTGAAATCTGGACACAAGAATACCTAGAAGTGAAACAGCAGTTACCATTGCAGAAGTCAGAACGTTGAAAGACCTATGCTAATAGAAACAAACAAATCAGAGTGGGAAGGTAGTAAAACAATGCAGTGTCTTTTCATGACAGCTAGGAGTCATTAAGTAGTGGACAACAGAGTTGAGAGAGGATTAAATTTGGTTTGAAAGAGAAAAGACAAAATAATACTAAAGACTGCCATGATATAAGTAAAAATGGATCAGAGGCCACAAGGTCTAATAAAACAAGAGGAAACAAAGTTAGTTAGTTTTCTGAAATTTAAAAAAACAACACTTCAGTTAAATACATAACACAGTAAACAGGGCAAAAGTTAAATTCCTTTAGATTTGTGTCACCATGGGTTGATGGGTATAATAATTATATGCATCTTTTACCAGGTCATTAGTTTGAGGGCAAATAGCTGGATAAATATCTCAAGACTTAGCATACTTGCGAGATCACAATGAGATTTGTGTGCACAAAATAAAAGCAAGAACTGTTTGTTATGGAATCTCATTTAAGCTCTTTGAAAGGCGGCAGTTCACTGTAATCTTAGTACCATCACACCTGGAATATTTGCAGTTGAAGACCCTACTATATAGTTTAGTTTGG